TTTTTTTTTTTTTTTTTTTTTTTTTTTTTTTTTTTTTTTTTTCTGTTTTCCATGATAAAAAGCACCTCATTCATTTTCTCCCTGGAAGGGCAATGCAGCTACAAGGGAACATCTGTGAGGCCAATTAGCCGGGCTGGAAATGTGATATAATTGTTGTTTAAATATATTTAAATTACATGTTAATCACTATGTCATAATTTATAGGCTTTGAAAATAACTTTTTGTACTTAAGAGCCAAGCCAGATTTTACTTGTTTTTGCTGTTTTTAGTTTGTAACAAGCTCTTCTCATTGCCCGCCCACTCCCTTCCAATTCCCCACACTGGAAGAGCTGAACTTTTAATATGGGAAAGAATGACAGCTGCAAGTAAATTGGTTGAGTAAAAATTAAGATCCCCACAGTCAGAACACGCTGGAGTGACCTTAAAGTTCTGAGCAGAACAAAGCAGTGCTCTCAGTTAAAAGGCTTTTGTTTTTTTTCATTGTGCCATTTTCTGCTGTCCATCAAAGCCCAGCTTTGTGGATCTTCAGGAAGTACAGAGTGCATCTGTTCAATTAGCTAGTAAGGGGATTTACTGTCAGCAGCACAGAGCTAGAAAGAGGTGGGCTATAAACTGGCAGGTGATAGGGAGTTTGTTTCTGGTGGGGAGGATTTGTAAGGGTGATGGAGAGAGTCAAGTTTCATTTTGTGGCCCTATCACCCGGACATTGTGTGATTAACTTGGACTCAGATGCCAGAGGTTATAGAGAAGGCAAATATCAGCAAATGTATTAAATATGGTATTAAATGCACTTTGCATACATCATGTTCCAAAATTTGCATTTCAGTTGAATGATAAAAATATGAAACTGTCTTATTACAGGCACTGTATTTCTCATATTTATTGTTTTAATTAGAACATTATATTGTTTAATATTGCTCCTGGGGAATTTTAAATTGTTAACCAGATGGGTTTTGTCTTTTAATATTTTTTTTAAATATCATACAAATCTATGTTCTTAGGAAACAGAAATACATACTTAATGCCTAACCGCTATCTAAATTAAACATGTACTTAACGAGAGAGGGTTTTATTTTTTATCTTTAGATAATTGTTCCTATCAATATTAACTATAGGATTAAAGTTTCTAGGGTCAAGAAACACTCTAAATCCTTTTAACTAAAACAGAATGTATCTCTGTAAGATGTTACTAATCCATCAGCACTCATTTATTACCTAAACACATGTCACTATTAAGGGTTCTCAACCTTTTATCCTCCCTGGCATGTATTCTTAACACTGCGATGGGCCTTTTCACATTGTTACAGGTCAGGTAGCAGACAGATAAAAAATGTTTTTGGCATTACGTCCAAGTTCTGGTACCTGGCTATAACTTATGTTTTTTTTCACAACCAAGTTCAACGTATCAATGCTTGAGGCACCTAGATTTAAAATCTTCATTTTTCATAAAGCAGGCAAAAGAAAGCAAAATGTGTCCCTGTATGAAAAAATCAGCAAGAACTGGGAGAAACCCTATTGAATCTAGGTAGGCAGCTGGCTCATACAGTCATACGCACGCACACACACACATATGTATATACAAATTCCACAAAACACCTTTTGTCTATTTATGTATGTGTTTATTTATTAATGTCCTCATCCATCTACTTTGTTTGATTATGTGGAATGCTGCTTTTTGGGTCAAGACGTACAAACTTCCAGTTATAAAATAAAGTCACGGGGATATAATGTACAGCATGGAGAATAGAGTCGATCACACTGTCTTAACTTTGTAAGTGCAGAGGGTAACTACACTTATTGTGGTGATCATTTTGCAATGTATACAAATGTTGAATCTCTATACGGTATACCTAAAAATAATATGTAGTGTATGTC